TAAAAGAGGCCATCAATATGGCGGTAACGCAAAGTGCTTACGTCATGACGACCAAGCCCTATTAGCCCCCTATGAAACATTTCTGGAGGCGCCACTGAATTGAAAACCTGAATTTTCAGCCTTTAAAAGCATTTCAGAACCTTTAAACAGATAAAAAACCAGCATGGATTAGAGCTCTTGGACGCCCAGTGGCGGATCTAGACCAAACGTACCAGGGGGCCAGGAGGGGGCCAGCGTGTTTTCATGGGGGCCAGAAAAGCATGAAATAAAAAATACGGCAAGGGTTTCAAATATATTAAGAGAGCTGCATGAGGTTAAATCTCTATTAAATTAGATTTAATTAAAATTCTGTGTCTTATTAGGTCAATATACATTCAGAATTTAGGAATTTTACATATTTTTGACTTAATTTAAGTTAAAATTACAGTTCTATTAAATCTGAATTAGAACTAAAAAAGCTGATAAATGCAGCTGTAAAAATTAAAATTTATTAATTTTTTATTTGTTTTAAAAAAAAACATTTGGCTGATGAAAACTGGGATCCTATCTTAATACCACTGAAGCTATCGCCTAATTGTTTTTTAAATAATTAGTTCAGAACAGGATTTGTAGAGAAAAAACAGGAAATAGATCCAGAGGACCTATCAGTAACCATGTCTGTTCCAGCGCAGATCATCATAGAATTTATTTGAGTATTATGTTTTCAGTACGGGGGCCATAACATGATCTAAAGGGGCCTTGGCCCCCCGCTGGCCCCTGTCTAGCTCCGCCCTTGTGGACGCCTATAATAATAATAATAATTTTTTTTTTTTTAGAATTGTCTCTTTCTGTTGTTTTTTTTTATTTTTATTTATTTATTTTTTTATCTTTTTATTAGAACTGTCTCTGTTTTGTTTTTTTGTTTGGTCGCTCTGCTATCCCTCTCTTTTAACTCTGAATCATTTTATTTATATTTTTATTCACTCTTGTATCTCTCTTTTATCTGATAATGTGTGCTTTAAGCCTGTCAGACTTGATTTTTTTAATTTTATATATAAGTAACGTGATATTGTACAATCGTTCATGATGTTCAAAAAAAAAAAAGCAACTGTTTGAACAATGGTCTGACCCAAGATGGCCGCCCTGTCGGCATGTCCGTGTCCAACGAGGCGGGAACATCCTCGCCGCCCTGCCCCGCGCGGTTTGCACAGGGATAGCCTGTAAATCCACCCTAATAAACATGCTTTTCACTGACCTCCTCTGTACTGTACTACTGTGACCCGGGGCAGCAGCAGCTCCAGCTGCCTCCTCTGGCGGTCGATCTCCTGCCTCAAACCCGCAGCCTCCTCCTCATAGTCGGCTACGGTCCTCTCCACCACGGCCAGGATCTCCCGGGCGGCGGTGCTCAGCTTCTCGGTGATGATTCCTCTCAGAAGTTCGCTTTTAGGGACGAGGAGTGGATCCGAACCGCTGCTGCCGTAAAACATGTTTTATTTAGAGAGGATAAGAGACAACAAGTTGTTTTTATGGAAATACGTCCATGCAGGTGTGCGGTGACAAAATAAGTCCGTGTGGGAACAAAAGTAAATAAAATAAGGCCTGTAAAATTCCTGTCATCTGGGTCATAAAGACCACAAACAGGCTTAANTAAATAAAATAAGGCCTGTAAAATTCCTGTCATCTGGGTCATAAAGACCACAAACAGGCTTAAAGTGGAAGACAGTCGGACCAAAATGTCACCCAAGGATCAAATCCACAAAGTTGATTTAAGATAAATAGTATATAACTTTCACTTTTTCTAGTAACTCCTACATAATTTGGCTAAATCTAGATTTTGTTTCGTTTCTTAATCAAATCTTCTCTTTCTTCCTCATAATTTTGACAGTATTACATGTTCTGTTATCTCATCGTCTCCACATTACTCAGACTTTCCACTGTGGTGCTTTTTATTAATTTTTTATTTTATTTTACTGAAGAGTAGTTAAGCTCAGTATGCACAAATACATATAAAAAATAACCATTTCTTCTCTCATCCTAACTGAACTTCTTATTTCTTGTCTCCTTTCCTTTCTTTCTTAGTTTTTGCCATTCACCCTCACCTTCTGATTTTACATTTTTATTTCCACATATCATAATAATTAACAGCTACGTCTAATGAAAATATCCTATTGACTCCCTTTTTTTATTTCATGTTCCATCACACCATAATGGCCGGGAATGATTACATTGTAGGCTGATTAATAATGTACTGGAATCATGTCAATGTGGCACTAAGAATAATTGTCTTGATGCCAAAAAGAGCCCAACAAATTTTACTTTCACAAGTGGAGCAGTACGGCTATCGCCATAGAGTTCCATTGATATATGCATATAAATAGCTTTATTATGATTTATGCAGGAAGTTTTACAGATTATATGGACACTGCAAAGTAAGTAGAACAGAAGAGAAAATGAAACAAAGGAGAAAAGATGAAAGAAAGAGGAGATAAAAAGGAGATAAAGATAAAACGTCTTCAGTCTGCTTCCTCACCTACAAAGAGATGTAAAAAGAACAGCACAGCCAACAGATAGATACAATAAAGTAGCACCTTGATACTATCGCTGAAGTATAAGTAGTATTATTTAATCTGACATGTATTATGTGTTACCTGAAGATAAGAATATGGGCGCTCTGTATGGAAGTCTTATATTTTCTTATATTTTTTTAACCCAATGAACAGCTAATATTAATGCAGCCGTTTCTCTGTATAAACTGAAGTCCATAAGTTTAGTTTANTCTCTGTATAAACTGAAGTCCATAAGTTTAGTTTAAACTTTTCCTGATTTTAATATCAAATTCTGGGATGATTAAAACTACTTAATCTCTAATGTATTTTTAAAAGCATAAGTACATTTTAACATACCAGTAATAATAGTTTTCCTCAGAATGACTGTGACCTGGATGACAGAATATGCACCAGTATAATGCTCCACCTCATGTGGCTCATTTCGTCGTTTTAATGACACTATATCAAAGTCTGTAATGTTTTTCATCTTTCATTTTGTGTGTAACTCTATACCCCGACATCCAATGGTTAATAAATTAGATTTTCATAGATTTTTCTGTGATTTTGTTGTCAGCATCTTCAACTTTGTACAGAACAAAGTAATCCATGAGAATATTTCATTCATTCAGATCTAGGATATGTTTCTTAAAGTGTTTCCCCACAGCAGTAAACTGATGTCCTATTCTACACTTTTACGGTAATTATGTTGTGTTATGGCATGCAGTTTTATTTTTATCTTCTCTTGGCATTGAGTTTTACCACAAAGTATTTTATTGTAGAGGGAAAAACATTTCTTTGAGGTGCACTTGACAATAAAAGCTTTTGATTTGAATAATTGAGACTGTTACTAACTTGGAGCTGCTGAGTTGTCTCAAACCTAGAAAATCCCTCTGAACAGCTTCAATATCCTTTCTGATATCAGTGGAGCTCCAAAATATTTGTCTAAATAAGCATGTAATGCTATCTTCACATCGTATGGGCTTTAGGCAGCAGAAGCAGCCGCTTTACATGCTGTCTATGGTGCATCAAAAGGTCCTCTAGCTTTACTATGGAAGCAAATCGTTACATTTCAAATTGGATTTTGGTATGTATTTGCTGGGATATTAAAAAGCAAATAGGATAATTGATTAATAATTTAATTTATGAGTCAAACAATGCAGCCACATTCTTAAAATGGAAAAGAAATGCTTTTCCATTTTCAAATTTTACATTTCAAATTGAATTTTGGTATGTATCTACTGGGGTACATGTTGAAAAATAAATCTCAAATGTCTTTTTCTTTTTCATTTTAATTAAGTAAAAGGATGAGCAGTGTTAAAGTAAATGCAAATGGGATTATTGATTACTAATTTAATTTATGAGTCAAACAATGTAGCCACATTCTTAAAATGAAAAAGCATTTGTGAAAATGCTTCTTCATTGTAAATATGGTAACGATTTGCTCTCATACTTTTACGAGCATCAGAAGCAATGAATCTTGCACTGAAAAAATGCTTTAGAAAAAAAAATTAATCAACTGTATTTACTCTTAATTTGAGTAGGTAAATGAGGTAGTTTGCCAATGGGATGAGTATTTTTCTACTCATAAAATAAGATAATATGCACTTGAAATAAGACAATGCAATTGTTTTTTCTTATTTTAAATGTAAATTATCTTGTTCCATTGGCAAAATGTCCAATTTTCCTCCTCAATTCAAGAAACAAATGCACTTATTTTAAGAAAAAATGACCTTTGTAGATTTACATATTTTGCAGCGTGATGCCCGTCATTAGCAGCAGCTGCTGGAGTTAGAAAAATAGAGTTTTTTCTCATCAATCAATCAGAGAAGCTGATCTGGGAGCTGGCAGGGAGACAGACACAGCACTGCTGATTCAGAGCGCTATGATCACTCCTCTAAAACAGTTTATTAACGCCTAAATTAAAAACCTGTCGGGAAAATATGTTTGATTTTATTACTAGGGTGTCTGCAGGTGGTACCACATACCTGAAAAACACCAACATCTACTTACAGCAGCGACCAACAGTAGAGGAAATCCCGCAAGAGGCGACACGGCCAGAGGCAGCTGCTGCTGGGGATTTTCAGTGACGGCGTCGTTATGGGGGAATCTGACCGGCTCTGACAGCTAAATACGTTAAGGCAGGATCATAATCCTGATGAACTGACTGCATAGATGATTTGAGGTGGACTTTATAACATAAGAAAATATATATATATCCCACTTATCACACCTCTGGAGATTTCTGAAGGAATTCTTCATAAACTGAAGAAAGTAACAACAGTAAACGTCCTCTTCAAACGATTTTTAAAAGACAAGAAGATTCTTCCTGCCTACATCTATCAATACCAACAACACCTGTTTAAAATAACGACTTACTGCAACATTTAATTTCCCTTTGGGATTAATTAAGTTCAG